TTCCCTTGCCATTAATTCACTATATGGTGCTCATTCTATTTGCTATCTCCTCATCTGAGAAAATATTAAACTAAATCACAGAATCACAGAATCACAGAATCACAGAATCACAGAATCACAGAATCACAGAATGTCAGGGGTTGGAAGGGACCTCAAAAGATCATCTAGTCCAGCCCCCCTGACAGAGCAGGATCACCTACAGTAGGTCACACAGGAACATATCCAGGTGGGTTTTGAAAATCTGCAGAGAAGGAGACTCCACAACCTCCCTGGGCAGCCTGTGCCAGTGCTCTGTCACCCTCACAGTGAAAAAGTGTTTTCTAATGTTTTTGTGGAACCTCCTGTGTTCCAGCTTGAACCCATTGCCCCTTGTCATTGGACATCACTGTAAAGAGCCTGGCTCGGTCCTCCTGACACTCCCCCTTCATGTATTTATAAACATTTATGAGGTTACCCCTCAGCCTCCTCCAAGCTGAAGAGACCCAGCTCCTTCAGCCTTTCCTCATAAGGGAGATGTTCCACTCCCTTCATCATCTCTGTGGCTCTGCGCTGGACTCTCTCAAGCAGTTCCCTGTCTCTCTTGAGCTGAGGGGCCCAGAACTGGACACAATATTCCAGATGTAGCCTCACCAGGGCAGAGTAGAGGGGCAAGAGGACCTCTCTCAACCTACTAACTACACCCCTTCTAATATACCCCAGAATGCCTTTTTTTTTTTTTTAAATATCTCTTCTGCAACTTAATGAATTGTCGTTGTATCAGTTTTCAGTTAAGTGTGTGCTTGTTGAAGGCTGTTTACTATCAGTTGTTTGGAAAAATTCTAAGAGTAAAAGCCTGTATTATTAAGCTAATCATGCTCAACTAGTTCGCTAATTAGAGTCTTAATCCTCATAAACCTTCAAGTAACACAAAATTTTAGTTTCTAGTATATCATGAAAAGACAACATTCTCTTGGAGGTCACCTTAGTTTGTGCTCACAAACACAGTCTTATAAAACTTGTTTGTTCATATGGTAAATCTCCAAAGAATTTCCTTAATTGCAACTTATCTTCTCAGCGAAAGTACAAAGCACACCTAGCAACTGTGGTTGGCACAAACATTTAAATAAAGTTCTCTGTGCTTATTATTGTGCTTATTACTGGCCTTCAGTTAGTGCCTATAGCATTGCTACTGAGACACCCTGGAAATTCTGTTCAGACTGTGCTGTATATCAGGAAAAGTTTCCTTTCTTCTAGCAATTAATATCTAGGCTAATACATGTTTTATGTTTGCAAGATTATCCCTGTAACAAGAAAATATTTTCTATAAATATTTGTGTGCTTATTATTGTGCTTATTACTGGCCTTCAGTTAGTGCCTATAGCATTGCTACTGAGACACCCTGGAAATTCTGTTCAGACTGTGCTGTATATCAGGAAAAGTTTCCTTTCTTCTAGCAATTAATATCTAGGCTAATACATGTTTTATGTTTGCAAGATTATCCCTGTAACAAGAAAATATTTTCTATAAATATTTGTGAATGTGTTTTCTTCTAGCAATTAATATCTAGGCTAATACGTGTTTTATGTTTGCAAGATTATCCTTGTAACAAGAAAATATTTTCTATAAATATTTATGAATGTGTGCTAGATGAAGTTCACATGTTTCTTCCTCTCTTTCACTGCTGCTTACATCTGAATGTTGTATGGAAAGAGATATTTAGTGTCAAACCACAAGGAATGCCACAGCACAAAACATCCTTTTCTCGCCTGAATGACACTTTGTGTTCTAAAATTCTTTCTGAGCATTTTGCAGCTCTTGAGGATGATGAAATTATATGAATCAAATGCCAGAGATTATTATTTAAAAAATAAAAAAAGGCTCAATTACTCTAGCAACCTGCCGAATTTTGTATGTTCCTCCTAAGGAGTGTTGTTTGTGTCAAGTTTAGACTCTATGTTGTGTGCATGACATGCTGTTGAAAGCAACTGATTTGAACAAAGAAGTGATATTCTAAAACAGAGAATATTCTATCTATGTATACATTTACACTGTAGAAACTAAGATATTCTATATTGTGCCACATTTATAGATGACAGCTCATTTTTCAAACCTGTCATAACTGCCCCTAAGTATTACTCCAAACTTTAAAATCCAAATACAATGTTACCTATTGTAGATATATTTATTAGAATATTCCATTTTGTTGCAAGTCTCACTTATTGCTAAAAGATTCACCTTTGAAATTCCTTGTGCTTAACAATAAGCAAAAAAAATCTGCAAACTACATGGAGCGATACATACATAGATCAAATAGTGCTAAAGTATTTAGCAACATACAATAAGGAGAAAAGTTTATAATTTCTTTATGATATAACATAAAAGTAACTGAGTAAAAAGTGATAAAGACTAGGACATAGCCCTGATACGTAAACGATCAAAAGGTTCTCAGTTATTTCTGTTTCAGAACACCTGGGAGGTGTTCAAACTGTGGTGGTAGTTAACGTACATATAAATCCCATCATTATAAACTACTGGAAACTGCTGCAATAGCACACATGCACAAACCTTTTCAAAGTGAGAAAATATTTAATTTTGCCTAGCCCACTGCAAATTGAGAAACTAGGACTGACGACCTTTCCCCACCCTCCAGTTAGAGAAAACTCTGTCCTGTATTGCAAATTCAGACATTTACAAAGGAAATTGCCATTTAAGCATCTGAGCCAAGGAAGAATTGCAGTGATAAATGAGAATGGTTATCATGCCTATACCTATCATAAAAGCAATTTTCAAAAAATCCCATAAAATATTTATTGAGGCCCACTGCAGGCCTACTGAAAGTCTCTCAGGTTCTGCTCCTCTGATTATAAACTGTTGTAACTGATGAAATACTGCACTGGTAGAGGCCCTTGAACAATAAAATTGCATTTTCTCCTTGCTTGCCATAGATGTAGAAAGCTGTGTTTGTGAGGTGAAACTTTAAGAAGTAGTAAAAGCACATTCATAGAGCTTCTTTACTTATGAACAATCCTACTGACATGGAAGGTCAAGCTAAGATACCAACTATGATGTTTGCAGCTCAGAATAGTGAACCTTTATCTTTCACCAGTACTTGATCAGATTAATATTAACTTTTTCTTTCTGTTCCCTCCATTGTCTTTCTAGGTTTTTAATGACCAACAAATTCTATGGAGGCTCGGCTAGAAATTGGTCCACTTTAGATTCAGTTGAGATTGTACAAGATGGAGGAATCTTTGCTAAATTTAACGTTTCTGCCATCTCTGCTCCTGCAGAGTATTCATTTCATTGTCAGCTGGTGGGAACAAGCGATCTCTATCCTGCAAGGCTGATTCCATCCAACAATGAGGCAAAAAAGTGGGATGTTTTCATCTCCAGGTTGCAAGTGAGTACACATTGCCATTTCAGAGATAATTCCAAGAACTATTACTTGATACTGTAGGTGCAGAATGACACACACATTCATAATGCCCTTACTTTCATTGCAGCCTGAGGGGAAAATGTAAAACAAAACCTATTCGCCCTAGATGGTTTACTCAATAAAGGGGTAAAAAAGATGGCAGTTGCCAAAGAGTAAGAACAGCTTTGAAAAAAAAAGCTATGAAGTTTTTCACAGAAAAGAAAAACTCAAATGCTCTTAATCAGGCAAAGAATGACTAATGCCAGTTTAATGAATTGGGCTGTTCTTGGAAACATGGGCCTCTTAGGTGGGTGGTTTTATGCTCCTTATTTTGTTTTTATTTGATTGCTTTGCACTTCATTTACCTAGGAAAATAGAGCTTTCAGTGACATAGACGGTCCGTACTACCACAGACAGATAGAAAGTCCAATGCAATTAGATTTAATAGAAGGTCCACTTAATGGACTTTAGTCAGGAGCAATACTAGTCCTGCATGGTCCAGAAGGAAAGTAGCTGGGTTGTGGTTTTTTTTTGGTTTTTTTTTGGTTTTTTTTAATAAGGCTTATATTTTCTGTGTATTTAGTCCAATAATACAGACTACAAATGTAAGGTGTAGATGACTGCATCTTTATTATTTTGAGCATTGATCTTGGCTTTGGAGAAACACATGAAAATTTACATCTTAAAACTATATCACACTAAGGGTTCTCTTTGATTAAAGAGATCAGGGAAATTATAGAAATAATTCCAAACTGGGCTCTATTTGTCAAAGATGAGCTAACCCCATGATAACTGGATACAAATGCTGATATAATTATATTTATGTTTTCAATAACAAACCAAATCTCAATAATCTGAGTCCAGATTTGACATTTCTGTTTAAACAATGGAAATCTCAAAGGAACAGCATTGTTGCTGAGATGTATTTTCCACAAATTCCAGGATCAAGTCAACAGCTTTTTTTGAGAAGCAATGTAGCAATACACACTGATATTGTGAAGGTTGCCCCCATGGTAATTTTTTATGTTAAAAAATACGTAAGTGCACACTGCTGTACTTTACCTAGTCAAGTCTTTGAAGCTGGACTTTGCTGTAGGCTGTAAAAATACAAAGTGCCCGCTTAAAATGTATCTTTTCCTTGAATTTCTATCTACATTGATACTGCTGCCTTGCCAAAGCTTAGAGAGAGGCCTTGCTCCAGCCTTAGTGAGCTTCCTTTCATTGGAGTCTTGATCAAGAGTAGTAGTAGGTTTCCCACCTTCCTTATTGATTTGGAGCAGCAGCTGCTTCCGCTGTTCTGACAACAGAACATCCAGTTCCTCTTGGGAAACGCCTTTTTCTCTGATCAAGTCCTAAGCATGGAAGACAACTTGAAAAGTCTTATTTTGATCTTTTTTGTTGTGTGAGAAAACAGAAAGTCACCTTTCTGTGCTCATTTCGAAGTTTTATCTGAACTAGATCACACTTTTCCCAATATCTTCTACTGATAAATAGTGGAATCAGATTGATCTCAGTATCAGTCTCTGTCCTAGAATCAGGTTTAGAAACTCCAGGCTTTGTTGCATGGTAAAAAATGCACATGGAATGTGTTCAGTGGTTGAAGTCAGCACAAAACCTAGTTGCTGAAACTGAGTAACATGATTGATTTTCCTGTCCATGTCATGCAACAAATTAGAAGTCAGAATCCAATGCCAATCTAGCTGGTACAATTGCACCTTGCAGGGTTGGTCCCTGAAAACAGTATCACTGTGTTAAAGGGACATGGCATCTGCATAGTGAAGCCTTGTATAGCTTGTTCCAAGGCAAGGCTGAACTGGTGCAGCCTTTTATTTTAGTCCTGGAGCTAGCTCGGTTTCTATCACCTAAAGAACCTCTGTGGAATGCTGTCTAGGCATGCCCATAGGTGTCACCACTCATAGCTGTATGCAGTACCCAAATCGATCTGGTTTTGGTATTTTTTTTTTGTTTGTTTTGTTGTTGTTGTTACAGGAATGGTTGTTCTACCATGATGCTTTTATCCTTTTGAGATTCTAAGTGTTATCCATGAAGTTAAAGAGGAGGCTGCCACTAAAATCACTGGTTTTCTTTGGTATATGTCATAGTGGTTTAGAAGCTCCTTTGTTTCTAAGAAGAACTTCCAAAAACTTTAAAATCAAGAATATCATGATACTGTGTAGCTAAGATATTGCTAAGTTCAAAAACTAGATGATTGCTGTACACTTAAGAGCCATGAAGACAGCGGATTTTACTTTGAAGGCTTTGTCAAAGGTCAAATTGTGAAAAAACTCTATTCCAAAAAAATATTTTAAAATTAACAGTAAATGCAGACGAGTGTTACCAAGACAAATGATGCTGGTCCACACACTAAAATTAAAACTTCCTCAGTACAGAGGCCTGTATGCAAAAGACTTTAACATTCATAAAAATTAGAGAACCACATGTAAGTATTTTTAACTTTTCTATAGGTAGAAATGCTCCTAGGATTCATATTTTAATCTCCTACCTAGGATCTAACACCCCCACAGAAATGATAAAGCTTCAGAAAAACAATAAAAGAACCCTGCATATACTTTATCTCCTGCCTTAAAGTATACCTAATATTTTAAGAATGTACAATTAAAGCTTTCAGCTCAAAGATTTAGTAAGCATAATCCTGCTTCAAAAAAACCCACCCAAAATCCAACACAATAGGATTGACATAATAAAATTCAGTATTTCTGACTCTAAATCTGGAGTGGTAAAGCCTTTTTAAACCAAATATACCTGTTAAGTGCTTCAGAGAGTTCTTGTAAGTGTGGTAAAAAGTGTGCATTATTTTCCAGAATTTCAATCCATTTTTTTTGAATGTAAGTGACATAAATCATCAGCTGCTTTCTATTTTTATTGTAAATAAGTCTTTCTGACTACATTTCATCACATTCTCATCTGTTGTCAAAGCAGTGGTTTAACAAGCAAAGGCTTTGGTAATCACCCGTATTCTCTAAAATTGTGCAAAGAGTCATCCAACCCAAAAGCTTATTTTCTCTAATCCTTCTTTAATCAGAAGTCTGCCTATAGTGAAAGCAGGCAATCTTTACAGGTTAGCTACCAGTGTCTGACTTGGAAAGATTCTTCCAAGAGGCCCAGAAAAACGTGAACTGCTAAAATTATCACACATCCACAGTACCTAAATAGCCCTTAGTTCTGCATATGATATTAGTTTTATTAATCAGTATTCTGGAAGATATAGATATTGGTCTTAACACATATATTACATGTAGATTAGCTTTTGATGTCTGAGCCATGAACAAATTCAAACCCAGACTCCTTATTGGTGTAGCATGGTATACAATCCACAAAATAATTTCTTCAATGTCTGTACAAACACCTTATCCAGGTGTAAAAAGCTGTGTAGATACAAAGCTTTCCATTAAGTTTATTATAAAGCATGGAGTAGCTATAGAGTAGGAACATAGAAAAGTAGAATTCCATGACCTTCTGCTTCCTTGCTTATTGCCTCATGAGGCAAGTGATTTAAATAAAATAATCCTTTTTTATTTTGTTACATAATATTTTGTAGATAATAGAGTCAAGGTCTCATTTCTTTACTATCGAATTATGATGTTGGGTGCTTTCCTTACACACTCATTTCAAAGAATCTGCAAATACCTAAGGATCCTAGTTTTCATTTTTCTTTACAAAATTATTGAAGAAAGACTCAAAGATAGATCAGATTAATTCTTTCCTTCCTCCATTTTCTTCCAACAGTTACATTTCCTTTATTATGAAGCAATTGGTGCTTATGCTATTATGTGTGTGTGGAGAGGGGTGGCATGTAGTCACTTTTTTCATAGTTTTCTAGTCCAATGATTGGTTTTAACGATTTTTTTTAGAAGGATAGTGGTCTCAAAGGCATTCAATTTGTTGATACCATCTGCAAAACTGAGGGCTAGGCAGAATCTAGGTTCCCAAATTAGTTGATTTTTCTGGGGAAAATAATATGCTAAGAGCTCAGTCAGTGGCAGACCTTGAAAATCTGGTTAAAGGAGAAATATTTCTCTAACTGCTGGAAAAGCTTATGTGGTTTTCATATGTTAATAGACAGCACAGAGCCCACACCTCAGTGGAGCAAACCCTCTCACCTGTTTTGAGTCTCTGATGTCTAAGGAAGGGGGAAGAAATTTCACAACTGCTTTCTCTTTGAACTTCCACTAAAACTCAGCCAAAAAGGTCATTGTCATTAGATGCATTTTAAAGTGCGTTTCAGGAGGTGTTGTCAAGGAGTTATCTAAATATCTCAGGATATTTCAACACATCTCATTATCTGGGAAGGCCTTAATTCTCATACCTTTGAGCATTTTGAGTTTCTTCATTCTTAAATGGTCACTGAGCAGCACTGATCACATGTCACCTTTGGGACTTTAATTCCAAAAGTAACATGATGTTCTGAAGTGGGAAACCTACTTCTGCATCTTTAATTTTCCGGGTAAAAAGGGGACCTGAAAAATTCTTAAGCAGAGAGTTTGGTTCTCATTCTTTTCTAAGGGGCAAAGTGTGAGTTGTAATTAACAGGTGTGTTTTTTATAATTACCTCAAATATCCTGAAAGTAGGGCCTACGCTCCATGCTTAATTGCACTCATCTATCTACCTTTCTTCATTTTCAGATGCAAGGCTTCAACATTGAAAACAACCAGTTTTCCTATGCAAGTGACTGTACAGGTTTCTTCACTCCTGGAATCTGGATGGGCTTAGTGACATCTATAGTTCTACTGTGGATCCTGGCCTATGGAATCCATATGATCATGCAGCTCACAACAAACAGCAGATTTGATGACCCCAAAGGTTCAGCTCTGTCAGTTCCTCAGACAGAATCATAGAATCATAGAAACATTCAGGCTGGAAAAGACCCTTGGGATCATCAAGTCCAACCATTAACCCTACTCTTAAGAGTCCACTTCTAAACCATATCCCCCAATACTACATCTAAATGAGGTTTAAACACCTCCAGGGAAAGTGACTCAACCACCTCCCTGGGCACCCTATTCCAGTGTCTGACTACTCTTTCTGTGAAAATTTTTTTCCTAACATGCAGCCTAAATCTACCTTGTTGCAGCTTGTGGCCATTCCCTCTAGTTTTACTACCAATTACCTGTGAGAAGAGACCAGCTCCAACCTCTATACAATGTCATTTCAGGTAGTTGTAGAGAGTGATGAGGTCTCCCCTCAGTCTTCTCTTCTTCAAACTAAACAGCCTCAGCTCCTTCAGTCACTCTTCATAAGATTTATTTTCCAGGCCCTTCACCAGCTTTGTTGCCCTCCTCTGCACTCACTCCAGCACCTCGACATCTCTCTTGTATTAAGGTGCCCAAAACTGAGCACAATACTGAAGGTGAGGCCTCATCCTTGCTTAGTACAGGGCGACAATCACCTCCCTACTCCTGCTGGTCACACTCTAGTACAAGCCAGGATGCCTTTGGCCTTCTTGGCCACCTGGGCACACTGCTGGCTCATATTCAGACGCTTGTCGGTTAGAACCCCCTAGTCCCTTTCTGCCAGACAGCTTTCCAGCCACACATCCCCAAGCCTGTAGTGTTGTACGGGGTTGTTGTGGACCAAGTGTAGGACCTGACCCTTGGCCTTGTTGAATCTCGTATCATTAACAAAATCTATCCAAGACTCTCTGTAGAGCATCCTTATCCTTGTGCAGATCAACACTCCTACTCAACTTGGTGTCATCTGCGAACTTATTGATGATACCTGCAATGTCCTTATCAAGGTCATCGATAAAGATGTTGAACAGAAACGGTCCCAACACTGAGCCCTGTGGAACAACACTTGTGACTGGCCACCAGCTGGATTTAACTCCATTGATGACCACTCTTTGGTCCCGTCCATCCAACCAGTGCTTTATCCAGCAGATTGTATGCTCATCTAGGCCATGAGCTGCCAGTTTTTTTATGAGTATTCTGCCTGGAACAGTGTCGAATGCTTTTCGAAAGTCTAGATAGATGATATCCACTGCCTTTCCCTTGTCCAGTAACCAGACCACCTTGTCATAGGAGGATAATAGATTTGTCAAGCAGGACCTACCTTTCATAAATCCATGCTGACTGGGCCTGATTGCCTGGTTGTCCTTTAATTGGCATGTGATAACACTTGAGATGATCTGCTCCATGACCTTTCCTGGTACCGAGGTCAGGCTGACAGGTCTATAGTTTTCTGGGTCCTCCTTTCTACCTTTCTTGTAGATGGGCGTTATGTTTGCTACCCTCCAGTCCAATGGGACCTCCCCAGCTAACCAGGACTTCAGGTAAATTATAGATAGTGTCTTGGCAAGCACGTCTGCCAATTCTTTTAGCACCCTTGGGTGTAACCCATCCAGTCCCATAGACGTGTGTGCATCCAAGTAGCGTAGCAGGTCACTGACCACTTCCTTTTTAATTATGATAACCTTATGCTGCATCTCCTCCCTGTCTCCTAGCTCATGAGGCTGGGTAACCAGGAGACAGCTGGTTTCACTGCTCAAGACCAAGGCAAAGTAAGCGTTGAGCATCTCAGCCTTATCCTCATCCCTTGTTACTAAGTTACCCTCCGCATTCAATAAAGGATGAAGATTTTCCCTAATCCTTCTTTTGTTGTTAATGAATTTATAGAAATTTTTTTTGTTATCCTTAACAGCGGTAGTTAGTTTGAGCTCTAGCTGGGCTTCGGCTCTCCTAATTTTCTCCCTGCAAAACTGCACTACATCTTTATAGTCTTCATAAGAGACCTGCTCCCTCTTCCAAAAGTTGTACACTCTCCTTTAACTCTTGATTTACAGCCACAGGTCCCTGTTTAGCCAGGCCAGTCCCCTTCCCCGCCGACTCATTTTCCGGCACATGGGAATGACTTCCTTCTGCACCTTTAAGACTTTCCTCTTGAAGTATGTCCAGCCTTCCTGGACTCCCATATCCTTCAGGGCAGCCTCCCAAGGAACTTTGTCATTCAGTCTCCTGAACAGGCCAAAGTTTGCCCTCCAGAAGCCTAGGGTGGCAATTTTACTAACTCCCCTCTGTATTTTACCCAGGATTGAAAACTCAGTCATCTCATGATCACTGTGCCCTAGATGACCTCCAACCTTTACTTCCACCACAAGATGGATTGACTGAATGCCGATATAGCTTTGTCCTGGTGTAATATTTATGATTTTTATATACTTTCTACTTTATAATATGTATAACCTAAAAGGATATCACAGCAGGAAGGGATAATTAAACTACGTATAACAAGGATGCTTATGCTTGGCAGCAATAATAATTCTACTTGCTATTTACTGTCATTTTTTTACAAATATCTGCGCTAAGAGTCTGAGGTGAGGCTTCAGAGTTTATTATTTTATATGACTGTTAGAAAGATCATTACAAACTGCCTTCAGATTGGCAATGAAAGGACATCACAACAGAGATAAATAGGAAGGATAAATAACTTATTTGATAGGACACTATATTGTAACTACTGCTCTTACTAAAGGCTTTTTAGTATGTCATGCTGATGCTACATCTTAAGAAGACTGAATTACGTCTTGACATTTTTTCACTTGACAATACCACCCAGAAATGTATAGAACTAATAAAGTATAAGTCACTAAATAAATGGTCTGGAAAAGTCTTTTCAAAATACATCACTTTGTTCAGATCTGGCATCAGAAATAAGAATGGGTGGATTAAGGTTTCACTTCCCTCTAATGTTATCTTATGCCTGTGAGAATTATGTTGAGTAATGCTAACTTATATATTTGTTTTAGCCATGGGTGGCTGATGGAGTTGCTAAGCAGGACAGGTCCTTGCCCAAACTGATCACAACATTGTATTGTGTGTCACAGCAATTAATGCAACTCATCATAGCCTAGTATGATTCCTTGTGCCAGTGCAGATTGCATCTTAACAGAGATAATGTAATTTTCTTAGCATCCCTCCTTTTCCAGGTATCTTTGCAGTAGTTACGTAGACTGTGCAAAAAGGAGAAAAAATACATTATATAAAGTCATTAGAAGGACCATGCTAATGTGCTGTTTAAGTCACATTCATGCTAATCTTGATTCCAGAAGCCTGAAAAAATTCAGAGTGTGCTGAATTCTTCTGCAGTTGATAAAGACACTATATCTTCCCATTGGGTAATCTGACTATGGAGCGAATTACTAAATGCTACGAAAAGCTAGGAAATAGTAGAAGAGTAATGGTTAAAAATGGTAAAAATACCATTTTCATTCTTCTGTAATGTTTTGTTCTGACTGTGCATTTTCTATTAGTAATTAAAGGACAAAAAAATACCATTTTGACAAAATTACATTTGTCACCTGAGAGTAATGGTAACGTTTCTGATCTTCATCCATTTCATATGACGATGATACAGAGGGAAGACACTTAGAATCAACTATTTAAGTAGACCGACAATAGTTTCTACCCGTCATTCCTGGATGTCATATTTTTATTATGGAATCAAAAAGGTAAATTAAATGCAGTCTGAAGCTATTCCTTCTGAATCATTCAATCCTGACTTGGAAAACAAAAAGAAAACTGGCTTGTAACTAGCAGAGGTGACTCCTCTGTTGTAATATTTTCCCCAAATGTTTTTCAAAGCCTCAGAGAATGCCAGCATTTGATCTGCACAAAAACACTGTATTAGAAAGGCACATTTTCCTTGCAAAAATAGGTTGCCAGGAGAGACAACTGGACTTGCTTTATCAGTTCTCCCTTCAAAGCAAGTTACATGAATGTAACAGTTGAAAATTGACATGATAGTCATGTAAATCATAGCTAGAAGAGAGGAAGGCTATTACAAAGGACTTGGTTTGTAGAATACAGCTTTCTTATGACTTTTATCTAGATTCAACAAAATTTGGAGCAGATTTTATTTAATAGTGGTGATATATAAAAACTGAAGAGCAGCTTTACACAGCCACTCAGCTTAGGATCCTATTTCCAGCATTGTTATGGGCATGGTGAGCAAGTAGTAGTACTTCCTGCAGATGTTCTCCCATTCTCCACCATTTAAGCTCAGAGACTTCCTTAGACAGAGATTGTATCTTTGTATTTAATAACCCCAGGCATAGTTCTAGTCTGTGAATTTAGACAGCCTCCTCTTGAGCCTGTGGACTCTCCTAGAGATCACAGTGGTTGCAGTGTGGCCCTGGAGACACTTGTATCCTCTCTTGCTTGCCTGGGCTGGTGAAGAGGAGGAGGGGGGCCGGTTAGCTCAGTGGTTTGAGCGTGGTGCTGACAACAATGACCGACACTGAGGTCGCGGGTTCAATTCCCACTTTGTCCTCATGTGTTGCCTGGTCGAGTTGAGAGGTGGCATCCCTGCCCATAACAGGGAGGTTGGACTAGATGATCTCTAAGGTCCCTTCCAGCCTAGGCCATTCTATGATTCTATGAAATAGAGTCTCATATAGGCTGTGCCATGGGGAAAAGATAAGCTTCTTTCAGAAGACCTCAAATTGGAAGAGATGTTGAAAGACATATTTGTTGGATTAGGTTTTTTACTGATTCAGTAAATGTGAAGCCCTCTCACAAAGGACAGGCTGAACTGTCTGTCACACTTGATATTACACATTCCAGGGTGAACCATGGGGAAAAGATAAGCTTCTTTCAGAAGACCTCAAATTGGAAGAGATGTTGAAAGACACATATTTGTTGGATTAGGTTTTTTACTGATTAAGTAAATGTGAAGCCCTCTCACAAAGGCCAGGCTGAACTGTCTGTCACGCTTGATATTACACATTCCAGGGTGAAGGGGAAGGCATTTTTTGGGGAGAAAATCATTCCTGTCACAAGGCTACCATGAATGCTTTGGCAACTAGGGCATGTAGGGCCATGTGGTTTGTTTCTATAGTGAG